TGAGTTGTTGTGAAAGCTAACTTGACTTTAGTCTACATGAGGTTGAGTTGTTGTGAAAGCTAACTTGACTTTAGTCTACATGAGGTTGAGTTGTAGTGAAAGCTAACTTGACTTTAGTCTATATGAGGTTGAGATGTAGTGAAAGCTAACTTGACTTTAGTCTACATGAGGTTGAGATGTAGTGAAAGCTAACTTGACTTTAGTCTACATGAGGTTGAGATGTAGTGAAAGCTAACTTGACGTTAGTCTGCACGAGGTTGAGATGCAGTGAAAGCTGTGCTAGGTTAAGTTGTGGTGAATAGTGTCTTGACTTTAGTCTACATGAGGTTGAGACATAATGAAAGCTATCTTGACTTCAGTGTTTGTTAGGTTGACTGTAGCGAAAGCTGTCTTGACTTTAGTCTATGTGAGGTTGAGTTGTAATGAAAGCTGTCTTCATTCTGTGTTAGGTTGAGTGATATTGAAAGTTGACTTGACTTCAGTGTTTGTTACTGTTTGACTCAGTATATGTTAGTTTGAGAGACCCATCTTGACTTGAGTTATAGTGAAAGGTCATATATAATCCGTGCACAAATCTGACTCTCAGGTTATAATAAATGATATATATCTAAGTAGTTAAGTTATACTGTTATGAAATACTTTCATGAATCTTTAAACTATTAACCAGTAAGAGGACTAGAAATAAAAACAAACTTATTTAAAATTAAATTATATGGTAAAATGTACATATTCGAACTGAGTTAATATCATACGAGTATTAATTCACAACAATATATATAATACACTAATGGATGGCTTTGTGATGTTTAATTACTAATAAGAATCACTAAATGAACATTTAATTTTAGGTAACATTTTATTATTTTTATGTATTTACAAATCAATGTGTATGATAAATAACTGATTTGTGAAAAACCGGTCTGGATGAACCATTTATTTTTCAGTAAATTCCTCCAATGTCTAGATAAGGAAATCAAACCAATGAAAGTCCTATTTTGCCTGGTATCAGTAGACATCTAGACACACACACACACACACACATATATATATATATATATGCATATCATTTAAATTGTTTGTTATTCATTAAACAGGCCTACAGGGAATTTAAACTGCCTTAAGTCACTGTAGGTTAATGATTAAGCCTAGCATTGGGAACGACAGTAAGCCGAGTGCAATCCCTTGTAGGCCTAATTTATCAATTACAGAACTTGTGTGTGTGTGTGAATACGTATATACATTTTTGCTTAAAGGAGCAAAATTCATTTTTATAAGATTTAAATATCAATCTACAATGTCTCTATTACTTAATCCATTGGCAGAATATGTACTAGCATAGCTTCTTAAAGGTTCTCGACGTCTTCCTAGTAATGGTTGATACTCATTAGATGTATCAATCTGATCTCTAAAAGGCGCTGTAGGTTGAATACTAATTGATCGCTGGGCAAGGTTCAACTGACGCTGTCTACGAAGTTGTCGATTTCTTTGCCAGATTTTATAGGGCGTTGGTGGGAAAGGAGGTCTTTTGAATTCGGTATAAAGTTGCAAAGACATGCCCATAAATGTCAGAATACCCCAGGCAACACTTAAAATAACATCTGAAGGAAAAGAAAGGAATTATTAACAAATTATCTGTAACTGAATAAATGCTATGAAAAATGCGGATTAACAAAAATTCCTTTTTTTTTCTATAACCTATATGATAAAAAAACAAAACTGAGTATTAAATTCTTCAAAAACTCTATGAGTTAGGTGAACTTGACAAATGATGTTGTTAACTGAATCAAGAAAATACATTAAAATATGGTATTATATTCTCATTTCACTTGAACAAAACATGTATATATTACCATTAGTTTGGAAAGGAAAGTTATTGGAGGCCAATGCTAAGTCTTCCACCACAGCACGTTTAACGACATTCAACACGATATAAGTTAGGGTGGTGCCGATATACCTGTCTATCACAACGATAGAGCAATAACCTCCAACTGTTGCAGTGGCAATAATATTGAGCTAAAAAAAAAGAAGTTAATAATTAAATAAATGTTGTATATATATACATACGCACACAGGCAGGCCATCTGGTGACTTTAAAGACAAAAATATCATTAGGAATGAGTTCCATAAACATAGCTAAGTGGTCAGTACAAATGATGAGAAATAGCTGAGGTTAGGATTATTAGTTCCGTAAAACAATCTATGTGTGGTGTGATAAGTGAAGTTTGCAATGTGAACTACGAATACTAAAAACTTAAAAATAAAGGGTTGTAATTAACATTGATAGTCAGATTGAAAAATACTGAATTTAAGATGACTGAATTTTGTGAAGTTAATATTAATTTTGATCACAGCAAGCTATACACTTAGATCAATGACAAAAAGAAGGCCAGGTACAGTTAATTAAAGAACCTAAAGATTAGAAGGACAACAGATTTGACTCACAAATTGAGTTTAGAAGAACACAAAAATTTTGGCTAGTTTGGTAAAATCTGGTCATCTCAACTCACAGACTGATTCATCAGATGGACAACAAAGTTTAATAGTACATATTAAAAACATCTTTAATTAGGGATGTTTTGGAATTGCTTCAAGTTCCATCATCAGCGACAAAACCTTAAAAAGTTAGTTCACAATATCCTATTTAAAAAAACGCAACATTAGCTACTGGGAGAGTAGTTTTTGTATCGAATAAGTTTATAAATAACAGATTTAAAGGGTAACAATACAATGAAATATACAGTAAAATGTGCAGCATACATTATAAAGAAAGGCTTAAATATAAGTACAAGGGTAAAAAATTTTTAAATACAAAAATTAGGAATTAGGAACAGGAGCACCAAAAAGTAAGGAAACAAGGTAGGAATGGGCGAGATAACATTACAACACTTGGTGTTTTTTGACACGATGCAACTTCAAAGTGAGTGTGGCCATAGTTTCATCCATTCCTACCTCGTGTACTTTTGGTACTTGTTCAAACTAAATGAAAGCTGTATATATATCTAAATTTCTCTGTTGTAAACTTAATTTCAGCAACCAAGTACAGATACATGTATGTAATCAAATTACGTGACCCTAACAAGAAGCTCCAATAGTCATACTTTGCTTATGGGAGACATTGTAGGTATCTGACTGGTAAGGGGTGGGCCAACAGAATAGTATCAAAACTGTTGATTTTTGAAATTTGTTGATAATTTAGAACGGATTAGCTACTGATAAAACTTAATTCAAGCCTATAGTTAGATCAAAGTTCAAAGTAGGAATGGGCAGAATGATGGCCACACCTGCTTTGAGATTGCACCATTTCCAAAAACATCAAGTGTTGTAATGTTATCCTACTCATTCCTACTTCCTATTAAACATTTTTTTGTTTACACTTGTCTTATAGCTTTTCGGGGTGCTAAGTCTCGAGAGTGACTGGGCTCTAGGCCTATTCTTCTCATAGCTTTTCTCACAGCTATCTATTGACATTTCCTGGTACTTGCTATAGTTTTTCTTCCATCTAGTCTTTTATTTGTCTGAATTCATGGCTAAGGCTTGTTTTGCATATTCAACATTACTGTTTCTAACCTAATCTCTGTTCTTGCAGTAATGCTCTCTTCACTGGGCCAAAGACTTTTCAAGGTTATCAACATTTGATTTTCTTCTTTTCTCTTGTTTGCTTGAAAGGCATATTTTAAAAATCTCACTGTTTCAAGTACAACCTTAGATGTCAACAGGTCACATTTAGTTTGAAAACAATGCAAAGGTAAATTATACAACTTATCATTCCTGTTTTCAGTCCAGAGCACTTGGAGCAAAGCTGTGTCAGACATCGGCATTTGTGGTGTTCATCATCACCTAGGAGAGTCGCGTCTTAGGCACCGACTGCTAAGATAGAATTGCTTTGTCCAACACAGAATCCTTGTCAGATGTAAAGAATTAAAATTTCGCTTTCAAAAGTTATATCATAGTTATAAATTAAGTCTAGAGAATGACTGTAGTCCACGTTTTTTTTTATCTAGCTGATAGAACTATGGGCTGATCACACAGCACATGCTCATAAGCACATAACATGAGGGTGGGTTGTTACTTGGCTACTCACAGAACATGCTTGTAATCATAGAATATGGCTACTAGTGTACTGTTAGCTCATTAGTAGTGGTTATTGTTATTCCTTGTTATTACCAAGGTTACAAGAATAACTGTGAAAAATGCTTTAAGCCAAGGTAGTGTAATTCAATCATTTGCATTTAGATTTGCATATGGTGAAAGCAGGAGAGAGAGCTCTGCCTTTCCAACAATGTTAGTCACTCAGCCAGATTGACAAATTTGTGGTTTTGTAAAATGTATGTTTTTACTCTACTGACTTTCTCAAGTGCTTTGGTGTCTTGTTACTTTGTAGTTGTTTTTTTTACTACTCGTCAATGTTTGTAAAGTGGTGATAAAGTTTTTCTGCAGTGTGTTTGATATTTTAATTTGTACTGCACATCTGGCCCATTCCTACTATAAGTACTATCATACTTATGGAAAACACTGTATCTTTAAAATAATAATAATCATCAAACAAAAACACTGAGAATCTGGAATCTGTTGGGTGACCACTGAATATAGTAATTTCATTCTCAATTAGTGAGCTTAGTGTAAATACAAGATATTTAACTAGCTTGTAGGCCTTGGAAACGAGAGTAGATAGATTAGGTCTGAGGGATAAACCATTTTTGTATATTTTCAGGAAGCCACATAGATGTAAACTAACTAATCCACCCGAGTCTTGTGTTCGTTATACAGTAAGAACAACCACCACCCTATACTTCTAGAAAACTTTAAAATTCTCGACTCCAGAACCACAGATTATGAACACTTTTGTTAAAGAAAGCCTCTCCGTTAAAGGTTGATTTTCCTTTGCTCAACAGATAACTAAATTTCCTAAAGCAAACCAATTCGTTATGGCTAGCTTTGATATTCAGTCTTCATTCACTAACATGTCATACTTCTAGAAAACTTTAAAATGTCTGACAATCTAACTTTAATCAATAAAAATCTGAACAGCTTTTTAAATTGTCCCTCAAGAACAATCACTTCATTTTTCATGGTCATCTTTATGACCAGATATATGGAGTGGTGATGGGATCCAACTGTTTAAAATATTTTTCTCTGTTATTACAAAAGTCAATGACTGGTTAATTGCTCCCATTATTACAAATCAGTATTATACAGAAGATACGTTGATAATTTTCGAATCTTTCACAACACTGATCAAGCCACAAAGTTTTTAGAATAACTAACGGCACAACATTCATGTGTAAACTTTACATGCGAGATGGAAGAAAACAATAACTTACTTTTCTAGACATCCAAGTAAACAAGCTCTTTGCCACATATGTTTAACGTAAAAAAACATTTACTGGCTTATACACTCGTTTCGACAGTTTCATACCAGACTCTTTCAAATATAACCTTGTTCTAAATCTTCTAAACAGCATATAATATCTGTTTGACTACTTCTGTCTTCACTCAGAAATTTCAAACATTCATAACATATTACAAAATATTGGCTATTTCCTTAATTTCTTACTCTCTATTAACAGGCCACACACAGTTTCAAAATATCCATTAGCTCTTATCACTCCTTTCATTGGCAAACAAAGTTTTAAACTCAAATATCAAATTAAAAAAATAATCAAACATATTACTCACAAATTAGGCTACGTTTAGTATTTACATCAACATTTAGAAATAAAAATATGTTTAAAATCAAAGACGCTCTACCCATTCCTATGCACTCGAGGGTTGTATATAAATACACTTGTGGTAGCTTTAAAGCTACCTATATTGATAAAACTACACATCACCTACAAATATGTGCACATGGGAATGTCAGCAAGAAGTGGATGTAGGCTAAGTAATCCACCCGAGTCTTGTGTCTGATTGTAAAGCGAGAATAACTATCACCCCATACTTCTAGAAAACTTTAAAATTCTCGACTCCGGAACCACAGATTATGAACTCTTTATTAAAGAAAGCCTTTCCATTTTCAAAGATCATCCAAAACTAAATAATAACATGAACTACTCTCTGTTGTAATTAATTTAATCAATTCTAGATGCAGTGTTTATGCTCATATTTAAGCCTTTCATACTAATATTTTCTCTAAACAATATTGTTTATTAAACATGTGTATGCAGCACGTGTTTTATTGTACATTCCATTATATTGTTACCATTTGAATCTGTTCTTTGTAAACTTTCATTTGAATAAAAAAACTACTAGTTCAACAGCTAATGTTGAAATTTGAAGCAATTACGGAATGTCCATAATTAAATATGTTTGTTGCAATTATGTATTTTTAATTTTTTTTTAAAAACTCACAGATTTTACAGGAAACGGAATCAGTGATATAATTAGGATTTTACAGCAGTAATATACAAACCGTTTTTGTCATGGGTAACGTGAACACAGGTAAAGCAAGTATTCCACATGCAAATATCATCCAGTAGTTGAAGTCGCTTCGAAACACATCAAAGTTTCCTGTTAGAACAGAACAGATGGAATTGATATTTGTAACCGACTTTAAAGATTGTGTTGTTTGTTCAAAACGGCTCATAGTCACCTTCGTAATTACATTAGAGTTTGTACAGCTTAATTACTGCTACTATTCTGTCAATCTCACAACACAGCTTTGTTTCTGGTATTAATCTGTCTATCTAATGAAACAATTTTATTTCTGTTACTCTTCTGTTTATCTCAATGAAAGCTATTTCTGCTGGCATTCTGTCAATCGAATAGCTTTATTTCTGCTAATTTTTAGTCTATCTAATGACAACTATTTATGTTGCTCTTCTGTCAATCTAATGAAATTTATTTCTGCTGTTCATCTGTATATCTAACAACAAGTTCAGCTTCTGTTCTGTTTATCCAATGACATAGCTTTATTTCTTCTACTGTTTTGTCTAGATATAAGTTTTTGAAACTAATGGTAAAACTTACCAACAGGGCTGAAAAACACAACGGACGTTAGAAGGAACCCTAAGGTAAAGTCAACTAATAGTACTGATATTACAGGTATGCCAAAAAACCACCACACAGCTAACCAGGCTACTCCACCCACAAATCCAAATGTAATGGTCAACACATCACGATCTAAAATGAAAACAAACATTGTATTTAGACGAAAAACAACTAGAGTTTAACATTAAACTTGAACAATCTTGGACTCTCCATTAAAGTTATGCCACGAGGAGCTCTCACATTAAACATACACCATGTGAGGCTTTCACATTAAACTTAAACTATGTGAGGTTCTCACATTAAACATACACCATCTGCGACTCTCATGTTAAACTTAAAACATAGGAGGCTGTCCCATTATAATATTAATGACAAGAAACTAATCATTGACACATCTCTTTTAATACTCAAGACCAACACGAATTTACTCAAAGTAAAAAGTCAACAAAACTGTAAACTTACTAACAATTATTAAGTTATACCTATTTTGGGGAATTCCAATCCCCATTAGTAACCCTGGACAAGGGCAAATGTAGGATTACTGTGGAGAAACAAAAAGACATCTCAAAATACCATACATATAATATACACTCCACCACTATAACTATTGTTTCAGTTGGTCCTTGTGCAGGGTTCCTTATGAGATGTAGAATTCTTGAAACTGGTGTAACTCAGTGACAAATCAAATGACTGACAAGGTTTCACATTTATTTTTAGCAATTATTATACCTACATCACAGCCATGCACTCTCAGAGACTTCTTTGTAACCTAATGATACTGACAAATGTGACAATCAAGCTCTTGACCAGGGTTGAAGTTGAAAGTAACATCATCTTTAGACTGTGATTTTATAAGAGTTTCACTATAAATTCATCTCTGATTGCACAGCTTAAGCAATCTAATAACTATCTTTGAATGTCACGTTAAAAAAATATAACAAAGTTTGCATTTTTACTGTGATGCTTTAAAAGCTTAAAAATTGCCTACATTTGGATAGTTTCATAAGATCTTTTATCCTCATATGTACCTACCTACACAGACATAAATCAAGCTATAATACCCACAGTTTTCAAACTAACGTTCATTACTTGCTACAGTAACATGATTCAAGGAATATTAATATTACTCTGCACAACAAAACACATTTTTAAACCCTAGGATTAATGGCACCTCTAACTTAGGGTACTGTCAAGTTTTACTTACCTGTAGTACTGATGTCTGTAAATCTTGTCCACAAAATAAATGATAACAGCGAAAACACGAGAAATCCAAAGAAAAACATTTCTGAAAGGACAAAATTTTGTTGTCAAAGTTATATTTTCACCTGCATAAAAACAGAAAAGATAATCAATACAATCAAGGTGCTTGAAATTAAAACCACTCTTTTTTTTTTGTACCTTCAATCACCACTTTTACATTTTGTTAGCACTAATCAAATGTTGGTAATGTAGGTAAATAGCTTATGGCTTAGATGTACAGTAAAAAAATATAGGAATAAATAACAACTTTGCTACGTTTAAAATGTAAGAAAAAGTGATAAAAGAAGTTAATATAAAATTACATTAACAGGTTTTAGTATTAATGTTCTGCTGAACCATGTAGATAAAAACAAAAAATAAATAGAATTAGCAGCAAATTTCCAAAGTATAGAGTTATATAAATTTTTTTAAATCAAGTATTTTTTATAAATACAAATCATTAATTAAAAAAGGGAAAAATCCTTAAGGATCTCTAGAGGCAGATTTTTATAAGCACCATCTTTCTCAGAATTTCGAGCAAAGTTCCCCAAGGGTTACCTGTACATAGCTAACCCTAATTTTGAACAGCTAGAACACAGGGAAGATAGCTAGTCAACAGCTTACACCACCAACTCTTGAGGTACTCTTCATCTGATCGAACAGATGGATTTAATCATTACTGAGGTACTCTTCATCTGATCGAACAGATGGATTTAATCATTACTGAGGTACTCTTCATCTGATCGAACAGATGGA